GACTAATCCGTGGATAGATGCGAAACCGTGTTAAACGGCAAAACACGTTCGGACCGTGTAGTCCAAACGCATACAGGTGATTGAGTCAGCATTGAAGATGCCCTCACCACTCGCCGTAGTGCAGCCTATTGACCTGACGGACGCCTACTTGAGATTCGTTGGCAAAGGATATTATGCTAGGCTAGCGACTTGCCGCGGCCAAAATGGGAAAGCTACGTCAAAAGCGAATCTCGCGGCTTATCTTTTGCTCCCAGATTCGCGTTGATCGATGCCAACCGCTGAGGATCGCTGGATGGCTCTGAGTTCAGCGAGAGACGGTGACAGCCACTAGGCACGATCAATGCAATGCCGACTTGGATCGACAGGGTAATGGATCGATTTTCTTTCTGCGCCTTTGCGTTTTGTTCCCGGAGAAACTTTACCGACGGAACATCCGAAATATTCACCCTCGTCCGTGGCTGATTATTGCATCTGGAAAACAGAAACTGCAGTTTCGTATCAGTGTACAGTGCCAGAAGGAACGAATCTTGACTTGGAAAACAAAAGCATTTGGTCAGGAAAACCGGGATGGCAGTAACATGGTTCGTAGCGGCGCGTCCGTGGCTGCGGGAGCACGCAAGCGCCAGCTTCCCTCCATACGCGCATGCGCGTGTCGACGCGCGCGAGGAATATTCCGTAGTCCACGTGGAAGCCCGTGACGGGGCCCGGCCCCCGGCGGGGCGAGTGAGACGGCGGCGACGTTGCCGCTGATCTCGCTGGAATATTCGCGCCAGCGCGGCTCAATTGACTCGCAACCGGCGACCGGCTGCCCGAGGCGACGGCCCGCTCCGCTCCAATAAACGTCGAAATCAGTTTTGAAAAAAAATAAAATCGAAATGATAAGAGAGAGTCTGAAATAAACCCTGAATTCGCGCCCCCAGTCTAAATCAAACTTTGAACTTGAAATCCCCCAAACCCAGTTGATTTTTGCTATAGATACTTATTTGTGGCAGCCGGAAAAAGACAATCCCCATTGGAATAGTACACCTATTCTCATTGACTATGTGGGCTTAGAGCATCTCCAGCCGTTAGCCCCCCCAGGAGGCGCTAAAAATCGCCCCCTGGGGTGCACCGGCCCTAAACCGGGCGCTGGGGGCGTGATGTACCCCAGTCGCGACACCCACAGTTTTTTGAAAATTCAAATTGCGGCACAAACACGGTGCATATTCAACCAAACTTCGGCGAGTTCGTTCATATTTAAAAATATTTTACAAAAAAGGAAAAAAAACTAGTAGGCTACTCCTCGCCGCCCGTCGCCCTTGTAGTTCTACATGCCGAGGAGGCTGTAGAACCGCGTGTAGTCGCCGCCGTCGTCATCGTCGCCGCCTCCGCCGCGGCCGCCGTCCCTGCTGCAACCCTTCCCCGGTTGGCGCGGCGGGTTGGACGGTCCGGGGGCGTCCTCGTCGTTGTCGCTGTCGAGGATCACGACGCCGTGCTCGTCCTCGCGCCCATGTTTGCGGGCGGCTATCTCCTCCAGGGCCCGGCGCTGCCGGACCATCTCGTCGCGGAGGGAGTCGTCCCTCTCCCACTTTAGGGCCTCCTCGTCGGAGAAGCCACACCGGGCGATCTCCTCGTACTCCGCGGGGAGGCCGGGCTCCGGCTTGGGCGTGACGAGGACGAGGCGGCCAGAGGGGGGGGGGGTGCGGAGTCATCGATGCGTACGCCGGAGCTGCGGGTGCGCCCGCTTACAGGCGTGTCCTGGGATTTCGGCTTGACGGGGCGGAGGCAGGGGGAGCCGGACGAGGAGGAGGACGCCCCGGGATGCTCCATGCGTCTCAGCGTCTAGGAACTCCCACGTCTGCGAGAGAAGGACGGGGGAGCGGGGTACTTGAGCCTCGGCGTGTTGCCATACTCGATGTACTCGAGGACGGCCTCCAGCGTGCGGCCCGGCACGCCCCACCATCGGCGCCGCCCCTCGGAGTTGAGCCTTCCGGAGGGCATGACACCGTTCGTGGCCTCGAGCTGTTCGACGTGCCGGCGGCGAAAGTAAGGCTCCCAGAGCGGGCTGTTGGGGATGTACCGCGGTCCCTCCCTCGCCGCCCGCGGCAGGGAAGCGCGGAAACGCGCGATCTCCGCACGCCGCGCCACCCCGGTGGGTGGTGGTGGCACCGGGACGCTGCCGGCGCTGATCCTCCACGCCCCGGGCACCCGCATGTCCGGCGGGACCGGGTACTCGGCCTCGAAGAGGAGCCGAGCCGGCGGCCGAAAAGTCGTTTGGGGGGCCTCTTTGGGGGCGCGGCTGGAGATGCTCTTAGAGCAACTCCTAACGGGGTGACCCATTTCGTACGCCGCCGTCTGTTTGGGTCCGCGCGGATAAAATAGGAGGCCCGCACCGACCCAAATCCAAAACGCGTCCGCTTCGCGTCCGACGCATTTGCGGTCCGAATTTGCACCCCAAATGCGTCGGCGCGGACGCGGAACGGATGCCACACGCGCCTTTTCGGTATCCGCCGCGGCCCCACTCGGAGGTCGCCCAACTACCCACCACCTCGCCAGTCAGCTTAATTTATAACCCCGGGCCCACGCGTCAACGACGGCGGTCGTCCTTTTTTAAGCTGACCGTGTGGCGGGGCCGTCCTCATCCAGTTCCCGTCCCCGTCTAGGCCACACTCGCTCCCGTCACAAGCAAACCCTAGCCACCCCTGCCGTCCAAATGGGGCTCTTTTCCGGCGCTGGCAGTAGCAGCAAGTCAAAGGGCAAGACCCCTACCGTCCCCTTTCCCGCGGAGTTCATCCCGGCTCCGCCTTCGCCGGCTCGCCAGCAGAGGCAGCGGGTGAATGTGCCCGTGCACCAGGCGGAGTGGCACTGACGCCACCGCGTGCCTCTGTCGTACCCCGACATCACCATGCCGCACGACTGGCATCTGGATTTGGAGAGGATCCCAGTGCCGGCGGCGCCGCGGTCGGCTAGGGCGCACCCGAAGGAGCTGCGTCGCCGGCGGGCGCTCCTGACGCCGGAGCAGCGCCGCGACCAGGCCTACGCCTTCGACTTGCCCAACTAGGCGCGCTGGTTCGCCTTCGAGCACGAGGAGGTGAGGCGGCGCGGCGTGCGCGAGGTCGGCCACAGCTTGCCGCCGCCGCCGCTCATCGTCCGTGAGGAAGACCAAGCGGCAGAGGACGCCTACCAGGCGGCCCTTGCGGCCGTCTACCGGGAGAGCAAGGAGGACGAGCGATGCAGGGCGGAGGCAGCAGCAGCAGAAGAAGCTCGGTACGAGACGGCCGATGACTGCGTGGTGCCGTCGGTGGCCCCACCATCCCCTCCCCGCCGCCTCGCCAAAGCCGAGCCGCAGCCGGAGCCGGAGCCCATCGAGCGCTATTTCTGGACGGGAGTAGTGCGAGTGGGTAAGGGCGCCGCCGGTCTGGCTGAGGGCGACGCCGAAGCAAGAGGCGGTGTACCTCGAGCACTGGCGGCAGATCCGGGTGGCCGAGGAGCGCCGTGACAGCGAGTACCTTGAGATGCTCGAGCGCGACGCCGAGGCCGAGCGGCTCGAGGCCGAGGAGGAGGCGCGCCAGGCCGCGCCGGCACAGCCCGCGCCCGACATGACCGTGCTCTGGAACACAGCGTTCGGCTGGGCCGGTCCGGCGCCAACGCTCATCGACCTCACAGACCCCGAGGACGACGACGGCAACGCTTATGGCAACGCGCCGGCGCAT